CTTAGGTCAAAGCGTATGTGCTGCGTTATCTAACCCAGCATGGTCCTCACAGAACATTTGCCTCTTACATTATGGCACAACAGAGCATGCAAACAAATACTGCGTCAGCTGCAGGAGAATGATCCAGGGAGTCCCGCGTCCATGCTATGCGACTTTCCAGTGGACGGCTGTGGAAAGCAGCAGAGCAAGCAGAGCTGTCAGGGCTACAGGAGAATGAAAGGACACCAAGGTCTGAGCCATAGCCTGAGGGACTCATTGTTTAAAGGCAGCTCTGGGATAAAAACCAAAGAAATTCAGAAACACTGAGATCCAGGCAGGCCACCCGCTATAACTACCTGATAGTCCCATGGGCCCAAACACCTCCGTCTCACGCAGACTTAACGCAGTTTCTCCTCTTTATGAGGTGAGCAACCTCCCCAGCCTAGGTCTGAGGACTTAGTAGGATACGTTTCAGAAGACCAAGTTTCACTGGTCTCACTCCATTACACTCAGAGCCTTTAGAAGAACAGCACTCTCCAGTCATTGACTCTTCTGACTGAAAATTCCAATGACAAAAGCCTAAATCCCAATGACATGGTTTCCATTCCTCGCAAGATGGCATCTTCCACTTGTTTAATATTCTCTATCTCTGTGTCTCGCACACACACACAGACACTTAAAATAATAAAGTCATACTCCTGGGGTTTTTACTGGCAGCCACTGTTTCCAAGGCACCATGACACTGCACTGTCCTTCACCCCCGGCTGGCTGGAAGGCCTCAGTCTAACCCCATGGTTCACCTTTGAGCACGCCTGGCTAACATTTGTTTAAATCAAAGACTGAAGAAACTAACTGTGTTCTACCGGAGCACAGGCCCAGTTGCCAGCAACTGAAATACCACATCACAGAACCCTTCAAAAACCTTTTACAGCCTTAACATTGCTGAGCAACAGAAAACTCCATAGAGTTAAAATATACACATTTTTCAGGTCCTCTTCTCACCTCCTGCTGCTTCTGTGTAAGGATTTGCACTCTCTCTTCCCCACAGACTGGACACTGATCCTGCCTGAACCTGGAGCAGCAAAGATGGACAGGGAAGATTCATTTCCCCACGGCCTCAGTTTTCACAGGCTAATTGGGAGCACATTAAAGCTCTCCCCAGCCACACTCCTTGAAACATTTAAGTACATCAGAGTACTTAGATATCTTTGCTGCCAACAGATTGCTAAAATTCCTCAGATACTCACAGTTAGCAGATATTTGATTGTTTTATTCAAATGAAGTTAGTTCCAGTGGTCAGTGGTGGGGAAAAGGTAGTTCCCAGTATAGGCAGATTGCCTGGGAGCAGAGGAATGACTTAGCTAAGCTTCTCATCTGTCACCCAGGACTGTTTTCTTCCAGTCCCCTTGTTTGACTTCCTGATTGCCATATTGAAGAGATAACAGGTGTGTTAGAGCCATCCCATGATACCCAGCACTCTTGTGGCCAGATTTTCAGAACAGGAGCTCTCAGGGGAGGCTAAGAAACATCAGCAGGTCAGGTATCCTAAGGGGGACCGACTCCTGGAACAGGGGGTCATCTAAGAGTTGCAGTATTTGGAGAAGACTCTTCACGCCCTGGGTTGCTTGATGTCTCCCCAAGAAAACAATCACTGCAGTGTTTTAATAGTCTAACTCACTCAGGCGCTCCCCTTCCCAGGGCAGCGTTTGAAGGAAGTGTTTTTAATTTTCTGATTTTGCTGTGAGTTTTGTTTTCAAAGTTCAGCATCAGCCACATGTTGGGCTGGGGAAGAGGCTGCCACACAAAAGCAGCAGCCACCTTGACACCTGGCTCCAGCACACCTTGCAGAAGCAGATATACTGGAGATATCCTGGGGCCTGGCAAGCACTGACACTCTGCTGTGTTGCGTGGCAGGGTCAGCTCTCTCCCTGCTCCTTCCATGCATTTCATACTCAGTCACTCCTTTGCACGCTCCTCATCCATCTGGATGAGCTGGCTCTCTGAAATCCAGCAGAGGCCATGCAAGTTTAAGGCAGACAAGCAGCACATGAACGTGCCCTGGAAGAGCACCATGCTTTTGTGCTCGCATAACTCTGCTCGTCCAAGGATTGGCTTCTCTTTGAGGCACAGATTGAATTTAATTAGGATGACACCAGTAAGAAGATAAAGCAACCATTATGCTGGTATCATCCTCATCCCATTGAGGTCACTGGTATCTGCAGAACAACAGGGCAGGGCTGTTAGTGACACTATTCCTTCCCTTCCCTTGCAAGGGCACGCACTTTGGTGCTTGGTTTGAGCCAGCAGAGTGAGGTGAGAGTTGTGGCACGGGGGTATCCTTGTCCCGGGCTTGATCAAGGAGAAGTTGGGATGCACCTAGGAGAGGCAGGAGGCTGCCATCTTTCCCAGGCCTGCGCTGTGCTTGCCTGTGGTGCATTCCTGTGTTCGTTCCACTGAATGAGCAGGAGACGCTGCCTCGCAGTTTCCCACAGCGAGAGCCAACGGTGCCTGCCTCGGCAAAGCAGCTGCAGCGGCTCCGGGCCCC